GGAAAGGAGAGAGATGAGTAGATCAAAGTATATTGCAAGGAACAGATAAACTAGAATTGATGATGGAAATATCAAAGAAACATCTTGATAGCGCATCACGTGGTCTCTTAGTCTCGCGTAGCCAGTCCACGCCCTCCGTACCTGCAGGTACGGAGGGCGTGGTCTGGCTACGCGAGACTAGTGGTCTCTAGCTCTAGCGAGCACCGCCCACAAGCGGAGGAGTGGCTGCTGCTTCCTGCAGAAATGGAATCTCTTCTTGATTCTCGTCCTAGTTTGCCAGAGCTCATGTATGAAGTGTCCTTTGAATCTAAATGGTACGACATTGGTGTAATGTTGGGTTTGGAATCAGACAAGTTAGACGCAATCCGTTATTCTTCAGTCAGTGAAAGAAACAAAACTAGTGACATGTACAAGCTGTGGCTGGATTCTAAACCGCAAGCAACTAGGAGAGAGGTTATAAAAGCACTGGAAGATATGGAGCTCAACAGACAGGCTACCAAATACAAGAAGAGTCTCAGAAAGCAAAGCATTAAAAACAGTAAGTGCATTTTGTCAAGGACTACATAATAGAAATAGCTCCAAACTTTATTATTAAAATCATTGAATGAATACTCATTGCATAGTTGTTACATTATATTTATATCTTTATTTTAGCTACCTTGAGACCAAGACCTACCCAACCAGTACCTACAAAAAGTTCTGTAATGCTACAACCACATATATATATAGTAGCAGTTATAATTATAGCATTTTCTTTATTAATAATTGTACGTTCACCACCTCCTGATACATGTACACCAATTATACCAGGAGTGATTGAACAGTATGGGTCAGAATTACGTGAGAAATATATTGAGACTTTAACTAAATATAAGGACCCAAAATATAATAAATATCCTACAGTAGGTCCAGTTTCTGTGCATGTTCCATTCATACCCTTAATATCAATTGTAGTTAAAAGTGTCACCAAATCAACTGCTGAATGGTTACTCAGTACAACTCCTAATGATATCATTCACATTCAAAGTGAATTTAAAATTCAAATTGAGGATATATTAAAGCCAGTATCACATAAACAACTAAAGTTTGTACTAATTGAAGGAGAGCCTGGAATTGGAAAGAGTACATTAGCTAAAGAGCTTGTGTTACGATGGGCCAATAGATCTGATGCATTAATGAACAATTATGACATTGTTTTTCTTATTCAGTTGCGCTTTGAAATTTACCACAAAGCTACAAGTATTGAAGATCTTTTTGTCAATTTGGATGACCAAATTATTAATATGACAGACTTACATGTAAAAATTAAAAAAAGAAAAGGAGCAGGTATCCTATGGATATTAGATGGCTTTGATGAGCTTCCAAGTCATTTAAAAAACAATTCCATTCTTATGAAACTTATAAAAGAGGACATTCTTCCCAAGTCAACAGTTATAGTTACCAGTAGGCCTGTTGCTTGTGATCATTTGCTTCCTTTTTTACATGAACACAACTCAAAACGTATCAGTGTCAGAGGCTTTGACTCTACTAAGATAGAGGAATATGCTTTAAAATACTTTAATGACAAAGACAAAGCTTCAATGTTTCATTCCTATTACAGTGGTAATCTTGTGATTGAGAGCATGCTTTATAATCCACTGCACTGTTTTATAGTATGTACAATATTCAATGACTTAATAGTTGCTAATAATGAACAATATCCAACAACAATGACATTACTCTACAATCACTACATTCGTATCTTACTCAAGAGGCACCTCATTGATGCAGGACTCATATCAAATCAGGACTATAAAATGCCTCAGCGTTTGATGCTTGAAACTGATTTCAATAGTCCTCTGCTACATAGCATTTGGAAAAACTTTTCTCTTCTTTCTAAAATAGCCTATGATGGTGTGATAAAGCAACAATATATTTTTGGAAAGGAGCTTCACAGTGTCACTAAACTGAGTATGATGGATACGATTGTTAATTTTCTTGTTTTTGAAAAAGATGAGTCAAGTAGCTTTTTACACACTACACTTCAAGAATACTTTGCTGCAATTTATCTTCTTAATAACAAGCCAAAAATTAAAATTAAGAGTCATGAATTTGTAGAATTACATTCAAACCTTAGGGTTGTTTTTATTTTTTATGTTGGAATCTGCAAAATGACAGGCAGAAAACTGGATTCTACAGTGTTGCATATTTTAAAGCAAAATATGACTCAACCTACTATAAATGATGACAAATATGTAGAAATTGGCAGTATAATGCTTGGATGTCTCTATGAAGATGATTCATTAATGCCTGTCAACCATTCATTATACTCTGCAGACTCATCCAGTACAAATTTTAATTATTATATTTATGGCCATCTGATTGCACTTCACAATATTACGTATATGATTCAATTCTACAATTCAGATCAAATAAAAGCATTCAACAAGGGACTTCGATCTCATTTTTCTTTTAGAGGAAAACTATTACTTACATTTATAATCAAAGACACTAATGAGAGGCAAAAAGGATTTAAAGAGCTACTACATATGCCTAGTCATTTAGTAATTGAAATCTTGATTTTTCCATCAAATGATTCAGAGATTTCTGAATTTTGTCAAATAATTTCTAGATTTCCACTACTGCAAGAGGTTGCATTTTTTACTCCTGATTTGCAATGGTCTTGTAATACAACTTCAGAAAACCCTTTTCTAAAACTCAAAAAGCTAAATAAACTAAATATATTAGCCATTAACCCACAGGAAAATGATTTTGCAAGAATTCAACAACTTATTGCTCCTGGTAGGCCACTGAAACTATTAAAAGTGGAAAGTTATGGTCCTTATAATAATATTTTAAACATAATAAAAATGCAGACATCTCTGGAAGAATTAACAATTCAAGATGGCGTTGATGCACACAAGCATGGAACTGAAACATTCATTTCAGTTCAGAGCCTGAGACCATCAGCATATCAGCATATTATATGGACTAAAAGTACTAATAATCTAATGGTTGACTACTTTGAAAAGTTTTTCTATCACATAAACATAAGAAAACTACCAAAAATACAACTATCTTCATTTACCTCATTTACTTACTTCAAGACTAGCAAGAGCAATCATTATCACAAGGGTATGGACATGTGGGATAATTGGATTTGTGCGAATGTCACTGTGCACTCGGAATCAGCAACATTTAAGCTAAACTACTTCATTGATGCTTTTAGTGAGTGCATTATTTTATTAAAGAAGTTACCAGTAAAAAGAATTAGCAAACCAATAACAAAAAAATTGAACAGTAGCTTCACATGTACATGTGGTGGCATTGTCAAAAAAACAAGATTCAGTATATGTAGAATAAGCAATTTTGAAGATAAATCATGCCACAATACAGAATTTCATTCAGCTAAGGAATTTATTTATAACATCTTACTCTTCTCAATTATCATTACGTTACACATGCTATTGAATTATTAATAGATTTATATACATGTACTACAGTGTATGTAAATTTAAAAGATTTTTTTCAAACTATCTCATTAACTCGCCAACATAAACTATCATACATACACCAGTGCAAAATGACATAATAATAATAATACTAATAATAATAATAATAATAATGATGATGATGACGATGATAATAATAATAATAAATGAATTAACAGACACAATGTCCCCCATACAAAAACACTTAAGTGGCATACAAACCTATCATTATGTCAATCAGGTGATACTAGCTCCATATCATATACATTTTAACTTGTTCAATAAACTCTGTATCCCCTTCTCTTTAGCTAGTTCAGATCCTAGTACCTTCATTATTTGACTAACATACAACCAGACATCATTAATAAGATTATCTACACATGAAGGAGAGTTACTGTGACCCATGTACATTCATTGGTTTATTAGTATAATTAGGATTGATGCAGTATACAAGATTTATGAGTAATGTGCATGAGTTTGGTAAACAACTAGTATAGTCTATTTTTAAGTATGGGTGTGGCTCGTTACTATAAATAACAGCTATAAATAGTAACATATTCCTCTATCTTACACTATACAATACATTACCATACGGTTGATAATTTTCGTAGGGCAGTAACTTTTGTTAATTTCACAGTTCATTTTTATCCACAAAATTTTAACCCCTGCCACCCATGTATGAAAAACTAATTAACAAGCCATTCAGAGCTCTAACTACTATTTTTCAAACCAGTAGAGGAGCCAGAGTCTTTTTCTGTTACTCCATATTCTACTATAAGCCATGTATCAGAATCTAGTGCTGTAGATCCAAGCGAAAAGAAGTTTGTAACTGCCAGCCACGAACATTTATACACACAAATATTAGCTTCTAAAAAAATTTGGAGAAAATGCGAAAATATTGGACTCTCAAAAATTACCAACAATACGGTATATGTACATGTAAGTGTCCTTACTTCTTTATTGCTGGTACTGTCAGGTGTATTTTCATCTGATAGTGTAGACTGTATTTTGAAATGTGCTGTATGATCAGTACACAGCTGCTAGCTCTTCTGATTGAGGCAGCTGTTGTACATAAATTAGAACTAAAAATAAAATAAATAAATTTTAATACAAAATAATGTGTATGTGTGTTATTTACCTGATGATTTACTGTGACATGTTGCATTAGACCTTTTAACGAGGAACTTTAAAATTGAGGTTACTTTCAGAATGCCTTCAAAATGCTCACAGACAATCTACCAAAAGAAAATAAAATAAAGTTACATGTACACTATTACTTACCTGAGTGTATGATATTATATCCATTTAATAATATTAATGTATAACTGTCCCTTTGTAGTATAGAGGCTTAAATGTTGTTTTACCTTCTCCTATAAATTAAATAAAAATGGAGGGACAAGAAAATGGTGCCCACCTGTACAAAGGCAGCAGAAATTCTTACAGGTCCTTGGTGCATCATTAATAGTTCAAAGACTATCTTCCCAGCTAAAGAGAAAGGAGAAAGATCAGTAGATTAAAGTATATTAAACATTATGATTAGACAATATCTATGATTAGACCATAAATATTAGCAATAATTATCCAGTATCCACTCTTGATATTAGACTTTACACATTCATCTGGAGGAGTGGCACTTATGGCACGCCTACATAGATCTGCGCTATCGCTAGCTGCATAATATTGGTTTTAATAGAGAAAAATGGCAGAAACAGACAAGTAAGTTGGTTTACATAGAAAATGATTTACTGGTTGCTTTACGCCAGACCAAAAAAGAAAGAGCTCCGTATAGCTATCATAGGTCAGTCTGTGTTTGGTCAAGAGGTGTACAGTCTGTTGAGGAGACAGGGAAAGAATGTTGTTGGTGTGTTTACGGTACCAGACAACAATGGTAGACCTGACCCACTGGCAGCTCAAGCTGAGAAAGATGGAACTCCTGTCTTTAAGATACCAAGATGGAGATTGAAAGGTTAGCCTACAGTAATAATTTGTAGTTTTCACATGAATCCTGGGATAGGTCAATTACTACCTGATGTGTATGAGCAGTATAAAAGTGTACAAGCTACACTTAATGTGCTACCATTCTGTACTCAGTTCATACCTATGGAAGTCATTGATGGAGCAGAGGAGGGATCCATTATATATCATCCATCTATTCTACCGAAACATAGAGGAGCATCAGCT